TTTTGGACCTTTTTGGTTTTTCCTCACGGGAAACAGGCGGTTTCCCCTGATGCCGCCAGCACAAAGCTGGTGTCAGCTTGCAGTACGATCTGGGAAACCTCGGGCTTTGACTATGCAACGTTCTCGGCTCTTCTTGCGCTGCAGAAGCCCACCCCGTTGATCTCCAAGGCCGGAGCGTCCCGAGCTCTGATCCCAGCTTGCTGGTTGATGAGCCGGTGGGTTTCGTTCCTCTGGTTTCTCCCGTGATATTTGTTTTAGTTTTTATTGAATGCCACCCGAGGCAGGTGTGGCTGGGAAAGGGGAGGTGGGAATTGCCTCTCGGATACACAGGCCGGGATCGGCGGGGTGTAATTACCCAGCAAGAGTCCAACCGCGTAGTCCAGTGACTCTGCTTCATCCGAGACCTCCCCGGGCCACCTCCAACTTCGCGTTTGATGGGTTCCTTTTCTTGGCCGTGCACATCAGAGCCAAACAGTGGGTCTTTGGCGGTGAGGCTGCCTTGGTTGCACGTCTGCTCTTCCCTGCTGTGCTCTGTACAGCTGTGGGCCCGAGCAGTCCCGTGGCAGACCAGCTGAGGCCGGAACGTGATAAAGTTCGAGGGAAGCAGCTGAATCTCGTAGCTGCCTTGTGCTGGACAAACAAAATAACCATTGGTGATGAGGGACAGGGGAAACTAGTGGCCAGGAGCCCAGTCCTTCCGTGGGTCGGGGTCCAGCGAACCCGGCACAGACGCAGAGCCGGAGACGAAGCACCGATTTTGGAGGAGAGGGGTGCAGCGAGGGCTTTTGGTGCCCGGGGCGCATCGCGCTGTCTTGCTGGGACCACCAGACAAGCCAGAAATCAGGCTCTGTGGGAGATGCTGATCCCAGAAATCTCGCTGCTGGAGAGCCCATACTCTGTGGCACGTCCTGCCCTTTCTGCGGTCCCCCTTTGCAGGAGGACGTCTGCTTTCTGGTAAGCGTCTCCAGCCCAGAGTCGGCTGCGGGACTTCCCACCATCCCCGTGTGCCTGCAGAATTTCCTCCCGACAGAATTACTCACTTCTGCATCTGGTTTGTCCAGTCTGGCAGAGCACGGTTGCTGTCTAAAAATACATCACGCGGCTGGGCTTACGGAGGGGGAGTGGGAAGGTTTGCTTACGCACAGGGCTGCTCGCCGAGCTCTCCTCTCGGAGGAGTTGCGTGGAGGAGACCTCCGAGCGCTCTATGCATCTGTCTGTGCCTGTTCCTTTTCCCAAGTTTCCTCATGGAGTCTCTGCTCCAGGGGAAACCGAGGCGTGGAAGAAATGGGGCAAGGTCTTTCTGATGAGCCTTTCTCCTGGCTGGCATGTGGCTTTCCTGCCCAGGCACCGCGTGGCCACCAGAAACCTCCAGTCCTGCCGTGGGGAGCCCGATGGTGACGGTGAGGGCTGAGCGAGGAGGAGCAAGAGGAAGTAACTGAACGCGTGACTAAGGTGGAGAGAATATCAAGGAAGGTTTTCTGTTAGTAATGTTTATTGGAGTAGTTTCCTTGAGAAGGGCGAGAGAGTCAGACCTTGAGTCACTTTGGGCTGGAGGCTGCTTCTCGGGGAACCATGGACAAGGTGAGAGCGGGACGTGCTTGCAGGTCCTCTCCGGTTCACGTCTGCCGTCGCGGCGGACTGCTCGGTACACGCGAGGGAGACGTGCAGCGACCGTTGGCTGAAGGAGATGACAACTGTGGTCGTTTTTCTCTGGATTGAACTGTGAGGATGAGGTGTTTTCCCCCGATGGGCAGGAGCGGCGGCAGCGAAGGGGACGTGC